TCAGAAAGGGCTAGCGAGATACCATCTTGTTATATCATATTATGATTGTTTTGAGAAAGTGTTGTCATCCGAGTTTTATTATTATTGCTCGCTAGCTGATTATGCCATTGATATGAGTAAACATGAGACCTAAGTGTTATTGTCAATATGGTTAGTTCATAATCTTTGCTGAAAACTTGAATGCTGGCTTTACATATTTACAACAACAAGAGCAAATAGAGTTTGTAAAAGTTTTTCTTTATCACTTTCAGTTTGTCAACTGAATTGCTTGAGGACAAGCAAAAGTTTAAGCTTGGGGGAGTTGATACGTCTCCAATGTATCTACTTTTTCAAACACTTTTGCCCTTGTTTTGGACTCTAACTTGCATGATTTGAATGGAGCTAACCCGGAATGACGTTGTTTTCAGCAGAACTGCCATGGTGTTATTTTTGTGCAAAAACAAAAGTTCTCGGAATGACCTGCAAATCTACGGAGATAACTTTTGTAAAATATAAAAAATATTGGCAAAAGAATCAATGCCAGGGGGCCCACACCCTGTCCAGGAGGGTGGGGGGCGCGCCCCCTCCCCCTGGGCGCACCCCCCTGTCTCGTGGGCCCCCTGCTGCTCCACCAACCTCAACTCCAACTCCATATATTCCGTTTCATGGAGGAAAAAATCAGAGAGGAAGTTGCATTGCGTTTTACGATACGGAGCCGCCACCAAGCCCTAAAACCTCTTGGGAGGGCTGATCTGGAGTTCGTTCGGGGCTCCGGAGAGGGGGATTCGTCGCCGTTGTCATCATCAACCATCCTCCATCACCAATTTCATGATGCTCACTACCATGCGTGAGTAATTCCATCATAGGCTTGCTGGACGGTGATGGGTTGGATGAGATTTACCATGTAATAAAGTTAGTTTTGTTAGGGTTTGATCCCTAGTATCCACTATGTTCTGAGATTGATGTTGCTATGACTTTGCTATGCTTAATGCTTGTCACTAGGGCCCGAGTGCCATGATTTGAGATCTGAACCTATTATGATTTCATGAATATATGTGAGTTCTTGATCCTATCTTGCAAGTCTATAGTCACCTATTATGTGTTATGATCCGACAACCCCGAAGTGACAATAATCGGGATACTTCTCGATGATGACCGTAGTTTGAGGAGTTCGTGTATTCACTATGTGTTAATGCTTTGGTCCGGTACTCTATTAAAAGGAGGCCTTAATATCCCTTAGTTTCTATTAGGACCCCGCTGCCACGGGAGGGTAGGACAAAAGATGTCATGCAAGTTCTTTTCCATAAGCACGTATGACTATATTCGGAATACATGCCTACATTACATTGATGAACTGGAGCTAGTTCTGTGTCACACTATGTTATAACTATTACATGATGAATTGCATCCGACATAATTATCCATCACTGATCCATTGCCTACGAGCTTTTCACATATTGTGCTTTGTTTATTTACTTTTCCGTTGCTACTGTTACAATTACTACAAAATTGCTATCGTTACTTTTGCCATTGTTACCATTACTATCATACTACTTTGCTACTAAATACTTTGCTGCAGATACTAAGTTATCCAGGTGTGGTTGAATTAACAACTCAACTGATGATACTTAAGAATATTCTTTCGCTCCCCTTGTGTCGAATCAATAAATTTGGTTTGAACTCTACCATCGAAAACTGTTGCGATCCCCTATAATTGTGGGTTATCATGCTGCACAAGACTCGACCATAAGAGTTCAGTCGACAGATAGTACAACCGGCAGAATAAGCATAAGATTGTAAATTTATACCTACTTTGGAAGTGGTCGCGTCTCCAGTTTCCTCATCATCTTGAGCCTTTTCAATGTCCATGGAGGTCCCAGAAGTCGCATCACTGGAGGATTCAGAACCCACCCGGTCAAGCAAGAGAATGAGTCAACGATAGCATAAAGGTTTCCAAACAACGCAAAAACAAAACAGTTCACAGAAGCGACGGGAACATCCATCTTGATCTTGGGCAAGGCCTAGCGAGGCTTTGAGGGGGCGACCTTGGGCTGCTTGGCGACCTTTTTAGACGGTTCCGGAAACGAAGTCCAAGTGCATTTTTGCACTTGTGTGCTTGGAGGAGCTGCCTTGCTACACCCACCTGCAGGATCATGAGACTGTTTGGATCGGTGTTCGGTGCGAGGTGGTGAGTCAACTTCTTCACCATCTTCCAAGTCATCATTGTCCTCCTCATCATCGTCGGGGGATTGCCAATCGCCACTGTCATTTGCACTCTCCATTCCCTCCTGGACTTGCTCCCCGTTCGGCATCAAGTACATCTCAGTATAAATCTGCAAGGCAAGGAGTTAAGCAAGCACCAATCAGATTCAAGGATAGTTTCAAATCAGAATGAAAAGACACTCAGTAGCAAAGGTCAGACCTTGTCCGACTCATTTTCGGCGTCAAATGGTGCAACTCTTCTACACCCCCTAGGGTTGTCTTTGTTTCCAATGATGCCCTTCGGCCACTGTGCCACCGTCTCCTCGGTGATCTCCTCTGGGTGGACCCAAGAAGTGTCACCGGTGCCCGAGTACATCCACATTGGATGATTGCAGGCTTGGAGGGGCTGAATGCGTCGACTGAGGAACACCTCCAACAAATCCATGCCGGTCACACCGTCACGGACCAACTGAACTACCCAGTCGACTAGCATGGACACCTTACTTTCTCTGCTGAAGTCACGGTCAATGACGAAGGTTGGCGGACTGGATCCCTGGTGAAGGGGGGAAGGCCAGTCGACTGACCAGGAGTCGGAACATCCCGGCAATAGAACCAAGTCGACTGCCACCCCCTAACCGACTCGGGGAGAGTCATAGGAGGAAAAGTACTCCTGATACTCATCTGAATCCCTAAACCCCCACACATTTGGATCACGTGTGTCCTTTCATCAGTCGGATTTGCCTTCTTCACAGTTTGAGAACGACAGGTAAAGATGTGCTTGAATAAACCCCAATGCGGTGGACAACCCAAGAAGTTTTCGCACAGAGAGACATACGTAGCGAGATATGTGATAGTATTGCGAGAGAAGTGATGAAGTTGGGCACCTAAAAAGTTCAGGAAACCCCAGAAAAAAGGATGTGGAGGTAGAGTGAAACCACAGTCGACATGGGTTGCGAGGAGGACACACTCACCCTCCTGCGACTAAGGCTCGGTTTCGTTCCCCGGCAACCTCCCAGATCCGTCGATAATCAAGCCCGCGCTGGCCAGATCCTCCAAATCTTCTTTATGGATCATGGACCGGATCCAGTCCCCCTGGATCCAACCAGGCAGCAATTTAGAACTCGACGATGACCCCCAACTCGTCTTATTGCCCTTAGACGTCGCCGACACCTTCTTCGCGTGCTCCAGGGCCGCCATCTTGTCCTTAACCATTGCGGCAGACTGCGCATGGGTGGGGAGGCAGCGCCAAGGGTGGAGGAAGACGCGTGGAGAAGCAGAGGAACAAGAAGGGGAATAGGGCGCACTGTGTAAACGCATCGGCCTCGACGACTTTTATGGGCTTGATTCCGAGTGGCTGACTCGTGGACCCAAGCAGTCCTATCAAATCCCGCAATAGTCATGCGCCCGATACGTGGCGAAAAAGGTGGCGCAAGAATCGAGGCACCCCTATCTATCCACCTCATTTACTGCTGCAAGCTCCGTCCCACGTGCTTCCCCAAGTTTTTGAATCCCGTGAGATCCGGGAACCGCAGAGTAACATAGCACGCCGAAGATTTCGTACCATATCAACACTCGAAGATTGTCAGTATAGTTCACTTGACGACCTCTGAATCGAATAAGGTGACTGAAATAAAGTTGAAGTTTCAGCATGATTCCCATACTCGGGAAGAATGCCTGTGAAGCTTAAAAATCAGGTAGGGATCAACTTCAACTCTCTTTTCATTCGGACCTCAATCCATTCGGGGGCTACCCAAGGTCACTACCCAAGGGTAGGGTCATAGGCCTGACCTAGATGCCCTACCCAAGGTCACTACCCAAGAATCAAGGACATTCAAAGCATAACAAATGATACCGACTGAAGTAACCATGGAGTGCAATCCACTCGACCAATTATCCTCTCGGATATCTCAATTCCATTCGACCAAGATGAAGTCATTCGACCATACAAGAAACCACTCGGAGTAAAAAAGACCTAGAGTCACTCAGGATGGCAACGGTCAGGCATTCACTCTGTAGTCTTAAAGATCATTGATAGCTCTTTATAGCTGGTGTTACCAGTAACACCCTGTCTTAATGTACATTGAACCCTATAACGGGGGACGGCTGGGGTCCTGGCGCACTCTATATAATCCAGCCCCCTCCTCTGGTACAAGAGTTCGCACCCCCTGTAACACACACATCCATATTCCAGACGACAGCCTCAGGGCACCGAGACGTAGGGCTTTTACCTCCTCCGAGAGGGGCCTGAACTCGTAAATCGTGTGTACAACATCGCCATAGCTAGAGCCTTGCCTCCTCATACGTACCCCCTACTCTTACTGTCAGACTTAGTATCACGACACTGCCCCCGCCCCCGCCGCCCCGCCGTCATAAAATTCAACATAGATCTATTTTTCAAATTGCATTTTCACTCAACATAGATATATTTTACATACAGTCGTCGTCGTTGCTAGTGAGCAGGTCGATCACGATGGTGCCTTCGCCATCACCGCTGTCCTCGCTGCTGTTGTTTGCAGCGATGTTGTCCCAATCGACGGGACCGTCGTCCTCCTCCGCAGGCGCCGCCTTCTCCGCCGGTGCTACCTCCTCCTCCACCGCCGACACCATCGTAGTCTCCTCTGCCGCCATGGCCGCGGCGGCGTCGGTTGCGGCTACTACCTCGGCGGCTTACCTCGCAGCCGTCTCCGACGCCCGTAGGGAGACATGCCACCCCGGAGTGTCAATCGGATCATCCTCACGGAGGACCACTTGTTCCGGTGGCAGCTCGATAGCGGGGGGGACAGCCGGTGCACGTGCAGGCGCCAGCACCGGGGGGCTAGCTAGTAGCAGTCTGATCCGCGACGGTGCTCCCATGGGGCGGGGCCCTGCACTATCACCGGGAGGGCTGGCTGGCGGTGGTCAGATTCGTGACAGCGGCCGCTCAGGCTAGTGAGGTCGTGGGTGACGCTGGCCACCGCCAGCCGGAAGGCGGTGATCACGTCGTCATACACCTTGCCGCGCCAGAAGTCGCGTCGGCCTTGAATGTTGTGGCGGCTGTCGATGTGGGTCCGGAGCTCCTCCGTCATTGCGCCGGGGCCGAGCGTCGGGTAGTTGTCTGTGCTGGTCTTCCACTGCTGGGGAAGATAGCAACCCGACGGCAAGAGGAGGTCGTACCGGCATAGCTCCGTCGTCTCCGGATTGCCGAGGTTGGACGGCCAGGCGCTCAGTCCGTCGTTGTTGCCTCTGGTGTTGCTGCTCCCGGGGTGGTAGGACATCACTAGCGTTGGGCTGGATTACTCGTCCTCGGCGGGTGTGGGGGGGCGGTGGCGTGGCGGGTTCTTATAGCCGTCCGGGCGACGGGAGGTGGGCGGCCGGGCCGATAGCCGGCATTACTGCTCATTAATGCCGGTGCCTCGGGACGGGATAGGACGGGACGGCAGGGGTGGAAGGCGAGGCGATCATTGATGGGACGGGGCATCGGGGTGGCAGACAACGCACTTTCCCACAATGCGCTTTCACCGGGGCGACGCACGGCGGTTTAACCGGATGTTACGCTGGGTACGTGGGTGATGTGTATGTGGTAACATGTCGAAGCACATTTTTCCGTCCGCTGGCGGACGGCAAAGGTGGTCATTCGCCACCTAACGTGGCTGACAATGGTTCTTTGTCGTCTACCTTCTTTGCTGTCCGTCACCGACGGCAAAGGGTCTTTGTCGTCCGCTGTCAAAAAACATACGGCAAAGAAACTCTTTGCCAGTGTTTACAGCGCTGATACGTCCCCATCGTATCTACTTTTCCAAACTCTTTTGACCTTGTTTTGGACTCTAATTTTCATGATTTGAATGGAACTAACCAGGACTGACGCTGTTTTCAGCAGAATTGCCATGGTGTATTTTTATGCAGAAATAAAAGTTCTCGGAATGACCTGAAACTTCACGGAGATCTTTTTTGGAATAAATAAAAAATATTGGCGAAAGAATCAACCAAAGGGGACCCACACCCTGGCCACAAGGGCGGACGGCACGCCCACCCCCCTGGGGTGCGCCCTCTGGTTTTGTGGGGCCGCTGGACATCCACCGACCTCAACTCCAACTCCATATATTCATGTTCGGGGAGAAAAAAAATCAAAGATAAGGATTCATCATTTTTACGATACGGAGCCGCCGCCACCTCATGTCTTCTATAGGAGGGCAGATCTAGAGTCCGTTCGGGGCTTCCGAGAGGGGAAATCGTCGCCGTCGTCATCATCAATCATCCTCAATCACCAATTTCATGATGCTCACCGCCGTGCGTGAGTAATCCCATCGTAGGCTTGCTGGACGATGATGGGTTGGATGAGATTTACCATGTAATCGATTTAGTTTTGTTAGGGTTTCATCCCTAGTATCCATTATGATCTAAGATTAATGTTGCTATGGCTTTGCTATGCTTAATGCTTGTCACTAGGGCCCGGGTGCTATGATTTCAGGTCTGAACCTATTATGTTTTCATGAATATATTTGTGTTCTTGATCCTATCTTGCAAGTTATAGTCACCTACTGCATGTTATGATCCGGCAACCCCGGAGTGACAATAGTCGTGACACTTCTCGGTGATGACCGTAGTTTGAGGAGTTCATGTATTCACTAAGTGCTAATGCATTGGTACGGTACTCTATTAAAAGGAGGGCTTACTATCCCTTAGTTTCCAATAGGACCCTACTTCCACGGGAGGGTAGGACAAAAGATGACATGCAAGTTCTTTTCCATAAGCACGTATGACTATATTCGGAATACATGCCTACATTATATTGATGAATTTGAGCTAGTTTTAAGTCACCTTATGTTATAACTGTTGCATGATGAATGACATCCGACATAATTATCCATCATCAATCCATTGCCTACGAGCTCATTTCATAATGATCTTTGCTAAGTTACTTTTCCGTTACCACTGTTACGATTGCTACAAAACTGATACTATTACTTCTTCCACTGTTACCGTTACTTCCATACTACTTTGCTACTATATACTTTGTTGCAGATATTAAGTCTTTCAGGTGTGCTTGAATTGACAACTCAGCCGCTAATACTTGAGAATATTCTTTGGCTCCCCTTGTGTCAAATCAATAAATTTGGGTTGAATACTCTACCTTCAAAAACTGTTGCGATCCCCTATACTTGTGGTCTATCAAGACCTTTTTCTGGCGCTATTGCCGGGGAGCATAGCTCTATTCCCTGAGTCACTTGAGATATCTGTTGATCACTATGAGGAATTTTAAAGATCAAAGAACCAAGATTTTTCCCTCAACTACGAGGAGAGTTAAGGAACTGTCTTCTAGCTCTGCACTTGATTCACCTTCTGTTTTGAGTAAACTTGCGACACCTACGCTTGTTATTGATTCTGATATGCCGCATGTTTTTGATGATGCCACTTCTGCTATGCATGATGCTTATGATGATACTACTTCTCTGCTTGATAATACTGCGCCACTAGGTGAATTTCCTGATGAACAACTTGCTAGGATTAGAGAGAATGAAATTCCTGAACCGATGATATTATTGACACTAAAGATTATAATTCTCCCCCTAGATATGAATTTCCTGTTGTACCTGAGGGTTATATTATGGATGAAGAAACTGCTAGAGACTCTCTTGCTTGCAATGATAGAGATGATCTTAAGAAACTGTTAGCTAAGCAGAAAGAAAAGTTTTTGAATGCTAGAACGCAATATGACCCCAAGTTTTCTACTTCACCTATCTATGTTACTAATAAGGATTACGAATTCTCTGTCGATCTGGAGTTAATTACTTTGGTTGAATCTGATCCTTTCCATGGTTATGAATCTGAAACTGTTGTGGCACATCTTACTAAACTGAATGATATAGCCACCCTATTTGCTCATGAGAAAAAAAATTGCTATTATTATATTCTTAAGTTCTTTCCTTTCTCGTTAAATGGTGATGCTAAGATATGGTTTAATTCTCTTGCCCCTTGTTGTGTGCGTCGTCCCGAGGATATGATTTACTACTTCTCTGCAAAATATTTCCCCGCTCATAAGAAACAAGCTGCCTTGCAGGAAATGTTTAACTTTGTGAAAATTGAAGAAGAGAGTCTGCCACAAGCTTGGGGGAGGCTTCTCCAATTACTTAATGCTTTGTCTAATGATCCTCTCAAGAAAAATGAAATACTTGATTTCTTTTATAATGGACTAACTGATGCTTCCAGAGACACCTGGATAGTTGTGTTGGTTGTGTTTTCGAGGAAAGAATTGTTCAGCGAGTGAATTGCTATTGAATAATATATTGAGTAATGATAATGATTGGAAATTTCCTGAACCAACTCCTAAGCCAACTCCGAAGAAAAGAGGTTTTCTATTTCTCAGTCCTGAAGATATGCAAGAGGCAAAGAAATCTATGAAAGAAAAAGGTATTAAATCTGAAGATGTTAAGAATTTACCACCTATTGAAGAAATGCATGGTCTTGATAACCCGACACAGGTAGTAGAGGTAAATTCTCTCTATAGATTTGATGAAGGTGATATTCCTCATAATAAGTCTGCTAGTCAATGCTTGGATGAGTTTGATAACTTTATTGTTAAACAAGAAAACTTCAATGCTTATGTTGGTAGACAATTGAAACGTAATGCTTATATGGTTGAACACTTGAGTGATTATATGTCTAGAGTTAAAAGTGATCTTAAGCTTATTAGTAAGCATGCTTCCATGGTTACAAATCAAGTAGAACAAGTACTTGGCACAAGATGATTTGCTCAATGAGTTAAATAATAAGAACAGCGATAATGTTGTTAGGGTTATGACTAGAGGTGGTAAAATGACCCAGGAACCTTTGTATCCTTAGAGCCATCCTAAGAGAGTTGAGCAAGATTATTAGAAAATTAATACTGATGCACCTAGTCCCGCTAATAAAAAGAAAAAGAATACTGATAGGACTTTGCATGCTTCTAGTGAACCTGTTATAGACACACCTGAGAATCCCAATGATATTTCTATTTCTGATGCTGAGACGCAATCTGGTGATGAATATGAACCTAGTGATAATGTTAATGATTATGTTCATGTTGATGCTCAACCTAGTAATGATAATGATGTAGAAATTGAACCTATTGTTGATCTTGATAACCCACAATCAAAAGAATCAATGTTATGTTAAGAGAGACTTTGTTGCTATTAAGCACGGTAAAGAAAGAGAGCCATGGATTCAGAAACCCATGCCTTTTCCTCCTAAGCCATCCAAGAAAAAGGATGATGAGGGTTTTGAGCACTTTGCTGAAATGATTAGACCTATATTTTTGCGTATGCGTTTGACTGATATGCTTAAAATGCCTCCTTATGCTAAGTACATGAAAAATATTGTTAGTAATAAAAGAAAGGTACCAGAAGCTGAAATTTCCACCATGCTTGCTAATTATACTTTTAAGGGTGGAATACCAAAGAAACTTGGAGATCTAGGAATACCAACTATACCATGCTCCATTAAAAGAAGCTATGTTAAAACTGCTTTATGTGATCTTGGAGCCGGTGTTAGTGTTATGTCTTTCTCTTTATATCGTAGACTTGAATTGAATAAGTTGATACCTACTAAAATTTCTTTGCAAATGGCTGATAAATCAACTGCTATACCCATTGGTATTTGTGAGGATGTGCCTGTTGTGGGCGAGTAACGTCATCGAGCTGAACATGTGTATAACTCGGAGGTGTCGTACGTTCGGTACTTGATCGGTCGGAGCTAGAAGAAGTTCGACTACATCAACCATGTTGCCAAACGCTTCCGCTTTCGATCTATGAGGGTACGTAGACACACTCTCCCCCTTTCATTGCTATGCATCTCCTAGATAGATCTTCCGTGATCGTAGGAATTTTTTTGAAATTGCATGCTATGTTCCCCTATAGTGGCATCAAAGTCATGTCTATGCGTAGATGATATGCACGAGTAGAAAACAAAGAGTTGTGGGCGGTGATCGTCATACTGCTTACCACCAATGTCTTATTTTGATTTGGCGGTATTGTTGAATGAAGCGGCCTGGACCAACCTTACATGAACACGTTCATGAGACCGGTTCCACCGACATACATGCAACTAGTTTTGCATAAAGGTGGCTGGTGGGTGTCTGTTTCTCCTACTTTAATTGAATCTAATTTGACTGCGGTCGGTCCTTGTTGAAGGTTAAAATAGCAAATTTGATAAATCACCGTTGTTGTTTTTGTGTTGTAGGTAAGAACTGTTCTTGCTAGAAGCCCGTAGCAGCCACATAAAACTTGCAACAACAAAGTAG